TGTATAGCTATAGTAAGGTGTTATGARTGGTTTATAATGAACTATTTTAAATTCACATAATTTAAATACACTTGGCTCTCTGTATACATGGGTTCCATACCCACCGACACCACATTTGCAGGTTGAACCAACTACTGAATGAAAATATTTTAAAAAATGCATCTGTACTGAACATATACAGATGTTTCCCCTTGTCATTATTCCCTAAACAATACAGTATGACTATTTACGTGACATTTACATTGTTAGATATCTTAAGTAATCTGGAGATGGGGTCTTGCTAAATTGCTCAGGCTAGCTTCAAACATGTGATCCTCCTGTCTAAGTCTCCCAAGCAGTTGGGATTACAGCCACCACATATGGCTCTATGCCATTTTGTATAAGGGAACTGAGCATCCTCAGGGGGTCCTGGAACAAATCCCTTGCAGTTACCAAYGGATGACTGTACTCACAAAACTGAATCAAACTTTCTCATTGTTCTCAAATCACACCCAAGCCCATTTATGCCTCTGACCGTATATATGCTATTTCCTCTCCCCAGAGTGCTCTGCTGAATTGCCAGCATCTAGAAAAACAGTGACCCACAGAAATGTCATATCCAGAGGTAGAAATAATATGGCAGGGATAACAACATCATTCAAGAACAGTGGAGAATGTTTCAACAAAGCCAAAACAACAAACACCTAGATAATTTACAACTAATATCAAATATGTTGAAATATTTAAAATCTGAATCTGAAGCAACCTCTTTGGCCCATGAAGGAGGGAAATAAGGTTTGGGTTAAGGCTGGAGTTTAGGAGCAGCAGGGAAGGTAGAAGTTCTAAAGCTCTAGTTCACCTGTATTCTGACACCATTCTGGAGAAAAAYTGTAGCGAAGGGATATAAGTTCTTTGAGCCCAGGATCCTGTATTTCAAAGCCTTAGCAGGTCAGTTTGGCTGTCTTCACTCACTCCAGGGATGAGGGTGAGGGAGCAGATGAGGGTGGAAGGGAAGAGGTAATTCTCCCAAACCCCACCTAAGTCACACTACATCAGAGGTTGAAGAACTCAAATATCCACAGATTAATAAATGTAAATGAATGAAGCAAGCTAGATATAAAGAAAATCATGTGGACTCCCTTTGATGTGTTTTTTTTTTTCACTTTTGATGGAGAAATGACTAACACAGGAAAAAGACAATATTTTTAAGAGAAGCCAGTGACCCAGACTTACGTWCAAAACTCCTTGATACTAAATGTTGGTTCAAAAAATTTAAATCACCATGCAGGTCAAACAAAAGATCTAGAAGCTGAATTCAGTCCACAAGTTTACTATCAGCTCTGGTGAAATATCAGGAGACTTTCTGACCAATGTATATCTCAAAGTTAGTTGAGACAATACTTAGAAGTTAGTTGAGTTCCATGGAATTGCAAAATGTTTGAATTCTTGCCCAAACTTCCATTCAACTTAAGAAACTGATGTTTTCCACCAAAGTAGAAGTAGTGGACCAACACATGTCAAAGATGAGTGGACAGCAAAGGAGGGACCACAGGATGGAAAAATCTGCCTTAAGACCAGTGCTGTTTACTTTAACTGGGTGGAACCCCATAAAAGCAATAGGCAGAAGACCTACGTGCAACAGCAGATGGTACTGCTTTGTAGGATTTTTTTTTTTTTTGTACCAGGGATTAAACTCAGGGGCACTTGACCTCTGAGCCACATCCTCAGCCCTATTTTGTATTTTATTTAGAGACAGTGTCTTGCTGATTTGCTTAGCACCTCACTTTTACTGAGGCTGGCTTTGAATTAGCAAACCTCCTGCCTCAGCCTCCTGAGCTGCTGGGATTACAGGCATGTGACACCACACAAGGCTGCTTTGTAGGATTTTAAAAGATTTTTTTTCCCTATTGATGTAGGTTTGATACTAGAATTCTGTTCCTATTTGCTTCATCCCGTGAGGTGTCACTGGGCCCTACAATATCTCTTCCAGCTTGATTTACAGGGATGTGTCCCAAGAAGTCTATCCTTGGCGAAATGTCTTCCTGGGTCCATCTTTGGGGTGGACCCACTGGAAAACCAGTTTTATTCTGTACCTCCTCTCCATGCCTACATGGAGTGTGTGGGTGTGAGTTGCCAGGTAGAAAGCTGGTTAGGAAGGGTGCCACCCTGGCAACAAGAGCAGAGCGGGAGATCTGGCAAAGAGATGATGATATCCATCTCTGGGCATGGGGTGGGGAAATATAATCACCGGCATGAAAAGGGTGGCAGTAGTTGTAAAACTGGTCCCTCCCACCTTCCCCCATGATTCCATCTCCTCCTCTTTTCCTGAACTCTGTTAGTAATTGTACCCTCTCTGACATACATTTAATTTCTTATCTGGACTGATTCCTTCCTCAYATCAATAGACATAAAATTTTCCTTTCTCCCAAAAGAACTTCCCTAATATTTATTTCCCTCTCAACTTACTGCACCCCGCCTTTCCATTGTCGTTGCCCTCTCTAGAATTGTCTCCAATGCAGCTGCCATATTCAATCTTGACTTTTCCACAGCTCAGTCTCATTCACCATCTTCTCTTTGCCTTTCTAGGATTCCAGGAAAATACCCCTTGCTTTACTCCAGTTTTGTGACTACTCTTTCTTTTTCTTCAGCTATGCTTAAATGTTACTGTTTCCAGAGCTCATGCTAAGCCCTGATTGGGCACAGCAAGCAGACCCAGGCTTGGACTGGATTTCCACTCCTGCTCACCACACTCAGCTGGTGCTCTTGTGCCCTGAACACCCTGTGAAACTAATTGTAAGCTGCAGCCCAGAGTACTATCCTTGGTCCTTATCTCTTTCTTGCTCTGCCCTCTTTTCCTCTGCAACCTTGTTGACTTTCATGTTTCCATCTCTAACCAATGTGACTTATCTAATCTCTAGACATTTTTTCATGTGTCTGCTGGACTTTTCTTCCTGGATTTCCTGTAGGCACTCCAAATTTGCCCTGGCTCAAACTGAATTCAGATCTGCTATTTACATACTCTCAAATATGCCTATTTTTTCTGTATTCCCTCTCTTGTTTAATGAAACTCCCTCTGTAGTCTCATTCAACTGAAAACTTCAAGATTCTCTCTGCCTCTTCCCTTTCTGCTGTCTAAGGCTTTTGTTAATCTCCCAAGTGCAATACTGGAATAGCCTTCTAACAAGTTTCCCCATTTCTAGAATCTCTCCCATTCAAATCACCCTCCTCATTGCCGGAAGATTTTTCTTGACMCAGATCTAAGCATATTGCTCTTTGTTTAAAAATCTATTTTGGCTTCTAATTAAACATATGATAAAGTCCAGATGTTCAGGTGTGGCATATAAAACCCTTCATATCCTGACCCAAACCTACTTTTCCAGTCCTACATCTTGCCTCTCTGATCTCAACATGTTCCTTGTTCTTAACCACATCAGTATGATACACAGTGGCTTGAACATGATTTTGCCATGTGCTTTAATGTCTCTGTACATTTGTAGGTGTCTAGAATTCCCTTCTCCAGTCTTTGCCTTGTAAAATCCTATCCACTAGGGATGGAACCCAGGACTTCATGCATGTTAAGCGTGCAGTTTATCACTGATCTACACCCCTTAGCCTTGTCACCTCTTCATTCAGGCACCCTGACTCTAATTAACAGCTCACCATTTCTCCAACCATACCATTGGTATTCTAATAGATTCTCTAAAAGTTGTTTTGCATCTTTTTCACACAACATTATTGAGTTTCTTAAGAGCAAAATTATGTTTTTTTAATTTATGTTCATATCATCAGCGAACTTGCCCAGTTCCTGATATATGACAGATATTGAATATAATTTTATGATTTTTAATTAGGCAGGAAGCTTGAACATCRTTTTGTAAAAGGAGTGGTGGTTTCTTTCAGCACAATTTTTAGTGTGTTTCTTTTCTTCAGATACAGGAAGAGTCTCAAGAATGAGATGTTAATGGGCCCCCCTTGGAGACAGTTGCTATGTTATATCGCCAAACTTCAGCTCTGTCCCTCTAGGGACATAAAGACAGTGATTTCTCAAATGACTGATTGGTGCCTGAATACAGATYTTTCCAGATATCAGAATTCCTTAAAACTATTGATGATTTTCAATCTACAACCAAGATTATGATTCCACAGAAAATTCTTATTGTTTTGTATGGCAGAGTTTCCGTGTAAAGGCAAATATATATGTACTTGTTTTATCTCCTGTGGGTCCCCAAAATCTTGGAAAGCTGCTGAATTATCTTGAAAGCCTGGCGGTGGGGACATCTTTTACAGGTTTTGTAGAGAGGCTAGCAAAACAGTATTGATGACTGAACCCTTGTCATTCTCTTTAGTACATGCTGGGTTAAGTGGGAGCCCAGAATGTGTAGTTTTCTTGAAATGAGCAGATGTATATTTGTAGAACCCGTGATAGTAGCTTCTGAGTGGGTGGGAAAGGGATGGGTTCCAACTTCCCTTCAAATACAGGAACTTGGTTCTAACTAGAATCCAAGCAACAAGTTGTCATTGAAAATGCAGTGACTGGTCTGCAAAGGATGCTTAAGGAAAAGTCTTTGGCTGGATTTCTCGAGACGTGCCAACCCATCCTAAGCCCCAGCCTAACTGTGGGCCCCTCGGTTCCTTCCCAACGCCTCCAGCGCCCGTTCTGGCTTCTCCAAAGGTCATTCCTCGGTGGTAGAATATTCAGGGTGTGGGCGCAGGGTGGAAGCCCTCAGTCTCCCTCCTCCGACTGCGACCGATCTCGGGCGGGAGCCCCTGTGGCCGGGAAAGGGGGACCTCAGATGGCCGTTTGTGCTGGCGCCGCCAGGCCTGACGGTGGGCAGCGCCGGCGACTGCGCGGCTGCAAGCAGGGGCCGCAGTAGCCTCTGGACCCGCCCGAGTGGGGGCGCCAGCCGCACCGCACGCGTCAGCGAGGCGGCCCCGTCGGCCCTCCCCCGGGCGGGGCCAGCCCCCGAAGGCGCTGACTCAGCAACGCGAGGGGGGAGTTTTGTCCCTCCGCGGACCCCGTTTCTCTGGGCCTCAGCCGCCACCGAGCGGGTTTCCTTTTTCCGGCGCTCCGGGTACAAGAGCCAGGTTGGGCCACCTAGGCAGCTGGCCGTGGTGCAATCCCAGTGCTCACCTGAAGACCCCCCCCCCCCGAAAACTAACGTTACCCTGCTGGACAGCGTGGGCACCATGAACAACGCGGGTGAGGCGCAGCTCTTCTCCGCCGAGTGCCTGGCGGAGTCCTCCCTGGGGGTTCCGCTGGACCCGTGAGGCCCGGCGGCGCAGAGGGCCAGAGGGCTGGGACCCGGGGCGATGCAGGGGATGGAGCTTTCCGGGCGGCCCGGAGCGGCCCGGAGAGAGACAGCATCTTGGAGGAGCATTGGGTAAAGGGCTTCCAGGCTGCAGTGGTCACCACCTCAGGATGCGCTTACAAAGTTAGACCCGGGACGTGGGAGCCTCGGATCAGCCCCTTTGGTGCTAAAAATCCCGTTTGGTCTCCCAACAGGACTGAATTCGGAGAAGGTGGCTGCTCTGATTCAGAAACTGAATTCTGACCCTCAGTTCGTACTCGCCCAAAATGTCGGGACCACCCACGACCTGCTGGACATCTGTCTGAAGAGGGCCACAGTACAGGGTGCTCAGCATGTGTTCCAGCACGTTGTGCCTCAGGAAGGCAAGCCGGTCACCAACCAGAAGAGCTCAGGTAAGGCTTTGAACTTCTTGCGTACTTGACTTGACTTTTTTTTTGACAGTGTCCCAATTTGGTGTCTTACTTCAGAATGGTCTTAGCAGGAGAGAAGTTTGCATTGAAAGAACATGAAAGTCCCTAGAGAATAGACAGGTAAAAGGAGGCCTAACCTGTGAGATTTGTTTTGGTGATCTGTGACTTCTTAGTATATTTAGTTTCAGCACTAAAGTGACAAGTTCGGGGTCATCTGTTTGAGCGCAGGTCACACTCTATTTTGATATTACCTGATTGCAGCTCCATGTCTTGCAGATGCCTCTGTGCCTTGGTCACAAAACAGACCGTGCAAAAATGTTCATGCCCACAATTGCCGTAAAAGTGTATATAAATACATGAAATAGAAAACACATAGAAATAGATTTTTAAATAAATTCCTCATAGTTAATGTGCTCTTAGGGTCAATTCTCACCAATAGGTGAGTTCCTAATACAGAAGAAAATTCAGTTCTCCTGCCTTGCTTGTTAAAAAAAAATCTTGTTTTACGATCCCAGCACCACTCAGAAATAACAGCTCCAGTGAAATATTGGTTATCAAGGGATCTACATAAGAACATTCTCACAACAAATGGAGAAAATTCTTTTCTCCATCCAGAAAACACTTTTTCTATCTATATTAACGTAAAGCACATTACTGCTTATCTAGAGTCAGTCAAAACTCAKAAAATGCACATTTAACTAATACAGGTGTATTATTGTATGTAAATTATACCTCAGTAACATTGACTTTTTAATTTTAAGGCAAAAAAATCATGACCTTACAATAATTAATGTTTTGCTGTGGTAGAAAGTGTGTTAGGGTGATGTGTGCTGTCAGGCTACAAATGATCCAGGTAAATGTCACAGTAATCTTACATAGTCTGGCAGAAAGCCTGAAAATATTAATCTGGAACAAGTCAACAGGTCAGGTTTTATACATTGTGACTCTTTTACTTACAAATAGCACGTGAACTATGTACTTTGTTTTCACATTTAATAGTTCATCTAGATTCTCTCTACTGGAAATGTGTATATTTGTATATATATGTATGGATATATAAGACATTTATAACTTTTGAAAATATGATTTAAAATTTTTCTTACAAAATTATTCTTGTTCAACATAGAAAATTTGCAAAATACCAACAGGAATTTTTTTTTCTTTTTTTTTCTCTGTAAATTTATCAGATCTTTATCCTATGTGTATTTTTAGTATGAGTTGATACCTCACACATTTTTAGATAAACTACCTGTCTTTCTCACTTATCCATATAATGTGAATATGGTTTCATATCTGTAAAAAGTTACAACCAAATAGTCAAAGTTTTTTTCCCTCCAAATTTTCCTTTAGAAAAGAGTGTTAGCTGGGTACAGTGGTACACACCTGTAATCTCAGAAACTTAGGAGGCTAAGAAAGGAGAATCGAAAGTTCTAAGATTATAGCTTAGTGGCAGAGTACATCTAGGTTCAATGCCCAGTATCTATCTCTCTCTCTCTCTCTCTCTCTCTCTCTCTCACACACACACACACACACACACACACACACAAAGAGAATTACCCTATATTCAAGGATTCAAATACTTTCAGGATGTGCACACTATTAATTTATCTTTAAGTAGAGTACAATCAGGTGAAGATATTACTCTCATTCCATGCCAGTTTGGGATACTTAAATAGATCATTTGATTGAATCAGGTTTGGGTTTTTTTTTGTGTGTGTGTGTGGTACTGGGGATTGAACCCAGGGGTGCTCTACCACTGATCTACATCCTCATCCCTTTTTGTTTCTTCTTTTGAGACAGGTTTCACTAAGTTGTTTAAGGTTTCACTACATTTCTGAGGCTGACCTCAAGCTTGCTGTTCTCCTGCTTCAGCCTCCCATGTCACTGGGATTACAGGCATGTGCCACTGTGCTTGGCTCTAGTGGTGTTTCTTTTAGGTGATTTGTAATAGTTTTGTTTTTTTTTCCAATTTTTTTTTAGTTGTAGAACATAATACCTATGTATTTTTAAAAGATATTAAACCTTTACACACTTTGACATACAGTAATTGCTACCTGTCTTTTTGTTTTTAATGTTTCTGCTCTTTGTGATTTAGTCTTAATTGTCCAAATTTGTCATGGGTGCAGTGCAGTATTGGGAGATATATTTGAAGCAATATTATCTATGAGCACTCATCATAATTTCTAGTTTTGCTTTCTTGTTTCAGGGCGATGCTGGATCTTTTCTTGTCTGAATGTTATGAGACTTCCATTCATGAAAAAATTTAATATTGAAGAATTTGAGTTTAGTCAATCTTACCTATTTTTCTGGGACAAGGTATGGGACTGATCTTGGAAGATTCTTTTTGTTTTGTTATCAACCTAGGTAGGGACTTCCTCTTCATTTCTTCCTTTTCCAATTATAGTCTACCCTTTAATTATAGATGAAACACCATTTATTCTGATTTCCAAAGTAATAAAAGTTGACTCTTATTGAAGGGAGAAGTGTGTGTGTGTGTGTGTGTGTGTGTGTGTGTGTGTGTGTAGATATGGTTGGTGCTGTATATCAAATCCAGGACCTCACACATGCTAGGCAAGAGCTCTACTACTGAGCTATACCCCATCCCCCAGAACTGCTTTGGTTGGTAGATGCCTTCTTATTGCCATGAAATGATAAATTCACTGGCTCATCTTACTACTTCCTATTTCTTTAAGATTTAAAATTGTGTTTTCAATCATTTCTCTTTTTGACTTCTTTAAGTTACTTGGTCTTCTTAGGACCTCATTCTCCTTCTTTGGGTAGTACTGAAAAACAGTTACGTTTTTCCATTTAAAAGTCTTTCAATTGTGTATTATATGTGTGCATCAGATGTGTTTTGTTTGAAGACTCTAAATTTCAGGTTTTATTTTAATATGAGAATGTATGCACAAACACACAATATGTTGGAATAATTATACAAGTATAAGAAGAGACTTCATATATTCTTATGTAACTAGATGCTGATATTTAATTACCAAGTTTGGTGGGGTTTTTTTTCCCCCTTATTTTTCTATTGGTGCATTATAATTGTACATAATGAGGACTTTGTTGTTACCTATTCATATATACACAATATAACAATAGAATTTGACAAATATCATTCCCTCAGTATTTCCCCTTCTGTCCCCATCTCCCTCCCTGGACCCCTTTCCTCTACTCTACTGATCTCCCTTCAGTTGTCAACAGACACTACCCCCCACCCTGCCCCAATCATTTTCTTCCTTTTTCCTCGCTAGCCCAACTTTAGTTTTAAAATACCTATTAAGTTGGATCTGTGATAGTTCCATGATTCTTATTGTGTTGATAATGCCAATAAAGTTATTGCTTGTCTCTTTTTAAAATTTTATTTATCTTTCCTTACTCTAGGTTGAACGTTGTTATTTCTTCTTGAATGCTTTTGTGGACACAGCCCAGAAAAAAGAGCCTGAGGATGGGAGGCTAGTGCAGTATTTGCTTATGAATCCTACAAATGATGGTGGGCAATGGGATATGCTTGTCAATATTGTTGGTAAGAGCCTTTCTGTAATGAAACTAAACTAAAACTCAGCCTGATTGAGCTGAGTTGAGCTGAGTTTTAGTGTAGTTAGGAATAGACTGTTTCTTTGGTGGTTATATACAAAGAAGAATTCGTCTTCAAGAAGAGTATGTAGTTAGTATAAGAAGCTTTATTTCACGTTCTCATCTATAAAGTGCCTTTCTTAAATGAGTGATAAGGAGATGGGAATGGTGGGTCAGGAAGAAAAAGGAAATGTTAAATAGAACTAACTTTGCATTAAAAATATTTTGTCCATTGACATAATAAAAAAAAAACACACACATTAAGCTGCAACTGTTTGACAGTGTCAAATGGAGAAATCTCTTTGAGCTGGGCACTTTGCAAAGTATGATAGGCAAAAAGAATTAATTCTAAAACAGGTAGATGAATATGTACGTGGAAAATATGATTAATAATAAGCACTGGATTTTCTAGATTAGAACAGCAAAATATAGCCTGTTTTTAAAAGCAATAGAGTTTTGACAGAATGTCTAACACTAGAGTGTACTTTTACCTAATTGAACACTAAAATTTGTTTACTTTTAGAAAAATATGGCGTTGTCCCTAAGAAATGCTTCCCTGAGTCTCATACAACAGAGGCAACCAGACGCATGAATGATATTCTGAATCACAAGGTATGACATGTGGTGCAGGGTAGGATTGAGTTTAGTGTACTTACCTTAAAATTTTCTACCTTACACACACATGTAATCTGAATTACTTGGGAGGCTAGGGCAGATGATGGCAAGTCGGAGACCAGACCAAGCACTTGTCTAGCCTGGGATCAGTCCCAAAAGCAAAAACCAAAAACAATATCTGGGCTTGATGGTACACACCTGTAATCCCACAATTCGGGATACTAAGGCAGGAGGATGACAAGTACAAGGCTAGCCTGGGCAATTAAGTGAGAACCTGTCTCAAATCTTTTTAAATTACTGCCCCCAACTTTAAATTACTGCCCCCAACTTTGCCCCTTTTCAGCAGGAAGCAGTTTGGAGATGTTGTCATCCCTTTTTCCATAGAAATGGAATGTAGAAATTGACAGTGGGGAAATGTGACAGTGGTCCACTTTATGCTTTGAATATAACCCTTGCTGTTCTGCCATGTCAACTTATTTTTAAAGTGGACATATCTTTCTCTTCCTCTCTCCCTGCTCCTATCTAATCTCTCCCCCTCCTTAATTTTAGGGGAAATAGGATTACCTTTCTTCCCCATTCTAGGCAGAGTTATCTGTCCCTGAGTACACCCTCACCATAGGAATGAAGTAATCCAGACTTTGGGATGCTACCAGAAGATCGTAGAAATAACTATCCCAAATTAACAGAGAACATGTGGAATGTAGCCTTTGAGTCACCTCTTTAAAAGCCCTCTGTTCTGCAGGTCTCCTGCTTGTAATCCCAGAGGCTCTGGAGCCTGAGGCAGGAGGATCGAAAGTTCAAAGCCAGCCTCAGTAACTTAGCGAGGTGCTAAGCAACTCAATAAGACTCTGTCTCTAAATAAAATACAAAACAGGGCTGGGGATGTGGCTCAGTGGTCGAGTACCCCTGAGTTCAATCCCTAGTACCTCCCGCTACCCCCCCACCAAAAAAAAAAGTCCCTATTCCTGCTGACAGGCAAGACAGGAGTCCCTTGTGTATCTCCTTTGCTGACAAAGCAATACACTTTTTTCTTTTTCCCCCGCCAAAAAAACAAAACTTTTTTTTTTTTAAAGGACTGGGGATGTGGTTCAATGAGTAAGTACTACTGGCTTCAATCTCTCATACCAAAAGAAAAAAAATAAAGCCCCTAACTCATTTTTAAAAAGAGTTCTGGTTATTTCAGTGTACACAGTTTGTCACTGTCTATCAAAAGCAATGGGGTTACATATTACCTTTAAAAATAATTGAGATTTGGAAAATTTTTTTATATCTTTTATTTCTGTTGATTTTAATATTTTCTTATGGATATTCAGGGGGGAAAGTCTCATGCTCAATATGTGCCTCTTGCTTAGTTCTTATACATATGGGTTAGGATAGCTTTATTTGCTAGTAAAACCAAAGAGAACTATTTGCTGAGTTCTTAGGCTTCCCCAGACCACATTAATATGATTTATCTGCCCACTAAAGATTTGATATAATCACAGAACTTATTTTTTCTTTTAGTACTGGGAATTAGAGTCTCGCACATGTTAGACAAATGCCCCACTACCGAGCTATATTCTTGTACCTTTTATCATTTTATTTTTTTGAGACAGGGTCTTGCGAAATTGCCCAGGCTGGCCTCAAACTTATAATCTTTCTCCCTCAGTCTCCAAAGTAGCTGAGATTAAAGATGTGTGCCACCACACCCAGCTTGAACTGTTTTTTATTGTGTCAGTTATCTTAATGAATCATTTCTTTCTTCATAACTCATTTTACCAAGAAAGGTTATAAATCCTATAAGGATGCTGCTCTGTTAGCCAGACATCTTTTTTGAGAATTGGGAATTAAGAAAATCTACTATCCTTGTCTCTGAGGCTAAAATTGGATCTGTCATCCCTGGGAAAAAGATGACATTTTAAAATAAATACAGATATTCCCCAATATTAGAAGTAAGTTATTTTCTACAGAGGAAACTGGGAATTCTTATCCAAAGGCTAAATGATCATTAGTAGCATAACTTTGGATTTCATTTTGAGTGGGAGGAAGATCCTCCTTAGCATGCTGTTAAATTTCAGACTCTCCTTTATTTTGGGCATCTCTCAAAATTTAAAGCAACAAAATTGAAAATTATATTGGAAGTTKACACAGTCATTTCATAGTGATTTGACAGAGAAGGTGATTTGAACAACTAATAAAATTCCAAATAAAAATATGTAAGTCTAGTGCCATAATCATTTGTTTCTTGCTTTTTCTAAGGGTGAACGGCATTATGGAATCATGTTTTTCCCAAGTCCATACAACGAGTACTACTGTCAATTATAGTGCAGAAACATCTAGCAGTCTTTGGGAATAATCCATGTCTTATGCAAAGTATTTTTTTGTTTGTTCGTTTGTTTTTGTTATGTGTTTAAGTAGACTCATTGGAGAAAAACATTTGCTTCTCTACTTATGCTCTGGTCTTGACCAAGTTATACTTCAAAATAGAACTAGCATTGGTCTTATATTAGGCTTATTTACAGTTTGGATAACTATTGGAGTACTGAATAAGTTTCTATCATAGATGAGAGAATTCTGTATTCGACTACGGAACCTGGTACACAGTGGAGCAACCAAGGGAGAAATCTCAGCTACACAGGACGTCATGATGGAGGAGGTAATAATAATTATCTGGATTTTTGTGATTCTTCTAAAGAACTCAGAACATTTGTTAAACTGATTAGAAAGTGTAGTCATTACAGTAAATATTTAATTGAATGGAAATACTTATTTTACACTAAAAAATTTTGAGATTTAAACTTGATTWTATTTTAGTACAGTTCTTCATTCTTCATTTTTTAAATATTGAACACCTTTGTGAGTTTGGAATTGAGGAAACAAAGATGAGAAAGCCCATTTCTGCTCTTAAGGAGCTCAGTCTCTTGGGRGGAAAAAAAACCCACATGAATTATTATAATAAATCCTGTGCTATAAATAAGTCCTATGCTGAAATATGTGAAAAAGGAATTGGTGGTCTTAGAGGAGGAGTGAATAATTCATTGAGCTCAAGGTACCTAGGGAGAATTTGAAAGAGCAGTAAGAATTTACTAGGTAAATAATAGGGAAGACCATCTCAGGTAAAGGGAATTATATACCCAGTGGCATGAGATGTGGGGAATCTTGGGTAGGTGCCAGAACTTTTGGGTTTTTGTAGGAATAAAGATGAGGAACTGTTGATGGTTATATCAGTTAAAATAATGTATTTGAAAACTTTTTGAAAAACTTAAAAAGCATCAAATATAAGGTGGTCAAAGTATTTATTGTCAAAGCAGTAAAGAAATTTTATTACTTAACTGTCCATATCCAGAATGAATATACATGAAACTGAAATTGCTTTGAGAAAAGAACCTTTTTCAGCCATTGGGCCCATTAGTAGACCTTCTTTTAAGACTGTGAAGTTAAATGGGTTAATTTTTTTTTCTGCAATGGAAAAAAAACTTATCCTTCACTAATGTTTTCCTTTAAATTTTAGGCAGTATTTAGAAGAGTAGTTGAAAGCATAGTCTCTGGAGTCAGACTGTGTGAATTTTATTCTTCTCTTTACCTAAGAGCCATGTCTCCTGTGACAAGTTTCTTAAGCTCTCAGATCTCTGTTCAAGTGTAGTATGTTTAGCCCATTACTTGACATAATAGCTTTTTCTTCTTACATTGTCTTTCAATTGAATGAATATGAGGTTTAATTTACCACAAGCATTTAAATTATCTCATATTTGCCTTTCTTCTTAAATGTTCCTATTACAGAAAGATGTCTTCGTGTAGCAAGAAAAAAACAGGCTTTGGAGTTAGATGTACGTGGATTTTAACTCTGATTCTATTACTAAACAGCCTATGCCCCATCAAAACACCTCTTCTGGTACCCTAGCCCCTCAGTCCCAGTTGATGACCTCTTTGTGCCCGGTGGCACAGGGCTGCCATGGTGCTTGGCAGGATCTGGCTACAGATTCACCCTCCCTCTCTATGATCTTGGGTAGCTCAGTTAATGTGAGATTGAATTTGAGATTTAAGATAGTTTCCTAATTGGGTTTTATGAGGTCGTATAAGGAATTAAATATAAGTATGCAAGGCACACAGCAGGAGTCTAGTAAATACTAGTTCTCTTCCCTTCACTGCTTGGAATGGTATCTCTTGCACAGGGCATATCTCTTACATAATCTTCCATCATTTATGCTTTAAGATAATGGGAGTACAGCAGGCATGAAAGTTTTGCAGACAGTTAGGGAAAGGTCCAAGATAATACTTTTTATAGAACATAAGCTTTCTATTGGCTTGGGATATTTGTTTCAATGATTTTTGGACTAATAATGTATTTAAGATTCATGTCCTAATCGTAGGACTAGTGGAAGAGCAAGTGACTGATAAGAATTAAGGCAGATATATTTTACATTTTTGTCTCCTACTACCAAGTCCTGAGCATAGATGTTTTATAGGATTGTTTATGTAATGATTCTCCCCAAACTGTTCACTACAGAATTCTGTGTGGTTGGTTTTTAAATCTTTTTAAATCTTTACAGTTCCCCAAATGACTCTTCTTTATTGAGCCTGACTCTCTGGTAATGAAGAGTCTAGCTTCATTTAAAGCCACAAATTAGTACCTTTGATTTGTTTAGCCTTGTGGGCAAGTCAAAATGATGACTAAATGAACAACCATGAAGCTCAGATTGCTTTGAATGGAATGTTTATGCTGAAGGCATTCTTTCTGAGAGAAGGGCAAATTCTCTGTAGAGGTGATAGACAAGGCAGATCTGTTTTAGAAAAGTGTAGTCACCTCTATTGCAATGTTTTCTCAGYGTGTTCCTTTCCATCTCCAGATCCCTTTAGGATTATTAATGTATACTGTACCAAAACTCCATCTRTTAAAAACAAATCATAAAACAGAGACCAAAAATAATATTTGTCAGTGCTATGAAGGGTCATTTTGATTTGCTTAGGAAATTGTATAGCAGTGGCTCTTAGCTCTTAAAACAATATTTAGGCCTGACAGTAGTGCACACCTGTAATCCCAGCAACTTGGGAGGCTGAGGCGGGAGGAAGTTCAAGGCAAACCCTTGCAAGTTAGCAAGACTTTCTCAAAATAAAAAATTAGCTGTTTGTGGTGGCACATGCCTCAGAAGGCTGAGGCAGGAGGATTACAAGTTCAAGGCCAGCCTCAGCAACTTAGTGAGGCCATCAGCAATTTAGCAAGACCATGTCTCCAAAAGGGTTGGTGATATGGCTCAGTAGTAAAGAACTGGCTTCAATCCCTGATACCTAAAAAATAAAAGATAAAAATACAAAAAATGAAAAGGGCTGGGAATATAGATCAGTGGTAAAGCAGCCCTGGGTTCAATCCCCAATATTAGGGAAAGAAAACAAACAAACAAAAAAACACATTATTTAGGCCTGGACTGGACTTGCCCTAGACTTACAAAATCAGTTTCCCTTGGAAGGGAATAATTATCTGTATTTTTATTTTAAAGACTTCTTTGATTTAAAAATTTATATCATAAACATAAGTACAGTGAAAATTCTTCTTTCTACTATGTTCTTCCTTCCAGCTCATACCCCAACCCAAAATTAGTTATATTAAAGAGTTTCCATATTTAAAAAATTTCTTTTCTATTGTATTTTATTGTCTCAATATACCATAATTTATTTAACTGGTCCCAATTGATGGACACTGTATGTTTTCTAATATTTTGTTTGAAAAAAATAGTGTAGTAAATAATCTTATATACATAAAATTTTATATATGTGCAAATATACCTATAGGTTACATTTCTAGAGGCAGAATTTTTAATCAGAAAGAATATGCATTTATAATTTTGTTAATGTAAAGCCAGATTATCCCAGGGATTATACCACTTCACACTGTCATCATCAATGTCTTATACAACCTGTTTCCCTTTAGTTTTATCGGGGCAGTGTATTGTCAAACAGTAGGATTTTTGTCAATCTTATATGCAATACTATCTCACTGTAGTTTCATTTTATATTTTTCTTATTTTGAGTGGGGCTAAGCATCATTTCTGAGAACTGTTTATATTCTTTACTTGATTTTCTTTCTTCATTTCTAGTTATTTCTTTTTTTGGTGGTGCTGGGATCAAACCCAAGACCTTGCACACGGCAAGCACTCTACCACTGAGCCACACCCCCAGTCCCCAAAAGTAAATTACTGAGAAATTATCTGATAGCAGTATGTGCTATAAAGAATATAAAATAGGCCAGGCATGGTGGCACATGCTTGTAATCCCAATGGTTTAGGAGGCTGAGGCGGAGGATTGCAAGTTCAAAGCCAGCCTCAGCAAAAGCGAGGTGCTAAGCAACTCAGTAAGACCCTGTCTTTAAATAAAATATAAAATAGGGCTGGGGAGATGGCTCAGTGTCAAGTGCCCCTGAGTTCAATCCCCTGTATACACACACACACACACACACACACACACACACACGCACACACCAAAAAAAAAAAAAGAACATAAAATAGGATGATCGGTAGGGTCATTAGGATAGGCCTTTCTAAGGTCAAATCTGAACTAAGACTTGAGTAACAAGAGCATACCAGGCAGGGGACATCAAGTGCAAATGCCCTAAGATAGGAGAAAGCTGGTAATTTTGAGGAACAGAAAAAAGGCAATGTGCCTTGAACTTGGAAAGCAAGGTTGGGAGAGATTATAACAGAATTTGTAGAGGAGCTGGAAAGCAGCTTATGCTATATAGGACCTATAGACCATGGTAAGGAGTCTGCATTTTATTCTAAATGAGGTAAGAATTGTGGGTTTTAAGCTAAGGTTTAATTTTTGCTTCAAGAATATTCACTTTGGGGCTAAGGTTGTAGCTCAGTGGCAGAGAGCTTGCCTAGCATGTATGAGGTGCTGTGTTTGATTCTCAGCACCACATATCAATAAGTAAAATAAAGGTCCATTGACAACTAGAAAAATATTTTTAAAAAAAGAAAAAAAAATGTTCACTCTGGGGGCTGGGGCTTAGACTCAGCCTTGCACATGTGAGTCACTGGGTTTGATCCTCAGCACCACATAAAAATAAATAAACAAAATAAAGGTATTGTGTCCAACTACAACTAAAAAAAAAAAGTATGTTCACTCTGAATGTTTTGAGAATAGAGGGTATAACAGCAGGATAGGAAGCAGGGAGACCAGATAGGAAGTTAATTCTAGTCACATAGATAAGAGGTTATATAGTTTGGGTAGGGTTGGTGAGAGTGAGAATGGAGAGAAGTGAATCAATTTCAGGGTGTATTTTGGAAATGAAACTGTCAAGACTTGCTGATGTGTTGAATGTGGAGGACAAGGAAGGTGGAATATCTGGGTAATGCGGCATGGGGATGTCTTGAATATGTGAAAGAATGCTGCTAGGCAGTTAGGGCAGTAGGGAACCAGAGTGTGGAAAAAATAACAAATGTGAATGAGAGAAATAATATTGAAGAGGAAGGTTTTGGAGGAGAGAAAGAACAGATATGGTCTATTAAGTAGTGCTTTCAAACTTCAAGGTGCATATGAATCACCTGGGGATCTTATTAAAATGCAGATTGATAGAATAGATCTGGAGTAGGGGCAGGATAGTGTGCACTTCTGTATCTTTGATTCAAATACTACTCTAGAAGCACTCTCAGGATCATTATC